TGGTGTGTACAGTATGTCACTATAAGCTAATGGTGTGTACAGTATGTCACTATAAGCTAATGGTGTGTACAGTATGTCACTATAAGCTAAAACTCTTAAAATGTCGATCTCTGACACCTCAAAGTGTTTTTAAGTCTGAAGAAATGTGACACTTGATCGTTTCTACCCTTGAGTTTGAGAATGACTGTACTTATTTAATGACTAGGGGCCCAGACTGATGTCAGGCTGCACAGGTCTGGGACCTGTTGTTCTCACTGAGCTCAGTGATCTCACACTGTGCGTAGCTTCTCTCCGCTGCATGATTGGCTTCACACATTTCTCCCTCTGCTTTTCAAAAATCACTTGGCTGCTCCGTGTGTGACAGCAGAGCCACATGGCCGGGCACCGCCCCCTCAACACGCCGTCACATCCCCGGAGATCAGCAAACTAATCATTCCCTATTATTTGACCGCATATACAAGAAGTGTTTTCACGTCTCCAGGCCTCGGGTCATGTTTTCAACATGCGGCCTGCAGTGACCGATTTCTATCAGGACGGATAAAGCGGAAATAAGAGCACAATAATTATTGACTGTGCGGCGACGTGAGCAGGTGTAAAATCACAAATAATCAACGAGACTGAAAACATCAACGTAGGTCGTGCGAGTTCCAGAAAACGTGAATGGATTGAATGCGCCGTTCAGGAAAAATCAGCGCAAATCTGCGCGCATTCAACTCCGTCGGTTATAGCACATTTTACCGCCGAGCATATGAACAGTGCCGAGGTCCGACCACAGTTTGTGAAGTATTAACATACAAGTGTCCCTACTGGTTCGATTCAAAGCCACACATCGGCTCGGTTTGTCCCAAAGAGCCGCAGCCTCCCCTCCCTCCATCCTGCTACAAACACACTCGGCGCCATGATCTCTTTGTTTCCTCCGGGCCGACCCCGACCAGACCGACACATTCTACGGCAGCGTCCAGTCTCTCTGAGCCCCGGACACCGCTCCGTCCTTACCGATACAGACTCTCTTCGTCACTCCCAGGCCTCCGGAGCCCCACTTTTATTCTGGCCGACACGTAAGAGCCCGCGTCAGGCTACACCTCCGCCGCGTCACCGGGAACAACAACACGGAGATTGGAGAAGGACGAGAAAGCAGATGGCGACACTGACCGGAAATGAACGAAGTGCGCACGGAGAAAGGCGGAAACTACCGAGTAGAAGCGGATCTTAACGACACCCTCCTGTCTCGTGAAGCGTTGGGAAAAATGACCCGATTCTACAATAAGCACTTTATCAGCAGTTTTATAGTTATGTGGTAAAAGCACCAAATATTTATTAGCTAATATCGGTGGCCATAAAAGTTGTACCTGCGGTCTACAGGAGATATGGTGGGTCGGATCAGCTAAGTGACATAAAACAGATTTATTTATTTCATTTGTATTTCAACATGGTTATAAAGACAGTTTTGTTTTGTGGTTTGAATTTTCATTAAAAACGCCATGTTTTGTGACTGATCATTTGAACATGTAATCAAAACTCGGATTATTTGTTGCCTAAACAATAGGCTACAAACATCTGGTGTATTGAAAATATTACTGCTAGAAGTATTGTCTTACAGCAGTAATACTATAGAATTCTAAGGAAAATGTACTTAAAATATTTAAATATAAGTAGCCAGAGCCACAGAGGTTTTATAGTTAACTTACTGATAGTAAGGAGCAGAATTAACAGAACCTGATGTGACTATTATTACTTTATTTGACATTATTAGATTGTTGATTCTGATGCATTAGTGTTTAGGCTAACAGTTGAAGGTGAAGCTAGTTTTAAGTACTTCATATACAGTTAGCTAGCCCTATAAAATAAATGTATTAAAAACGTTTTGCCCAACTCTAAATACTGTGGATATATGATACTCAGCACTATTCATCCACATGCATACTTGTACCTATAGGCCTTGTTCACAGATGTCGCAGTAGGAAAATCACACTTATAAATATTAAAATTGATGAAGGCTAAATTCTGTTTAGCTGCATTACTTTCAGGGTCCTGGTATTGTTCGTGCTGGATCACTGTCACCCTGTCACACTTTACAGGGACATTTAAGTACAACAAACTCACTGCTAATGCTATTAATAAAATCTGTCTGAAGACAGACTTTTAGCAAAGCCATTATTACTAGAGGGGAACACAGGAGCAATAAAAAGCTCACAGCAATGCAGTCTGCAGGTACTCTGTACAGTGGAATTCATGCATTCATCTATCAGTTTATTAGATGCCAAGCAAAAAGTTATAGGCCTAATTCAACAGTCCCACAATAAATCCTCCTTCACAAAGGTGCTACTGTTTATTTTTTGTTCAGGCTGTTTCAGAGAGGTGCTCATTCAGTTGTATGTTCATCGTGAAGGCTGCATTATACAGAGAGTCGGATGTTATTCAGCCTAGCTTCACTGATATAAGTGGGACGGACAAATTAATACAACCATTGTCATATGACACTATACAGTTCGATGGCGCCACAAAGTAGATCTTCCAAAATGACCCTACAGTTGAATCAGTACCTCTCTAATGCAGTTTCAACAGCATCTAAACAGTCAGGGAGGAGGATTTATTGCAGGATTGCTGGAATTCTGGAAATTGTTGAAATAATTTTAACAAATTATAAATTGCCAACTAAGTGTTCTTCTCATAAGATTCATAAGAATTTTTTGAAAGTTTTGAAGCATAAGGACCTTAAACACCTATTAGTGCAGATCTTCTCTCATACATCACTGGGACAGTGAGGAGACAACCTGAGACATAAACCAGTTTTTATATTGTATCCTGGTTTTTAATTTTGAACACCAGTACATCTCAAAATGGTAGAATATTCTCCATCACACAGCTGAGAATGACATATATATGTCAGTAAAATGTATACTAGTCAGAGCATTACCTCATCTTTGACCACACAATAATACAAATGTGACAAATGACTGTGATGTAGAAAAGTAGAAAGCAGTACATGAAGAAATGCAATGCAAACTAAAATACAAAGGGACTGAACATTGAGCGATATCTACAATGAGCTTGCACTGGTACTGTGAACTCAACTGATAAAGCCCTGAAAATATAGTTAAGAGGCAAAGCATTTCCACTTGAATTCAAATTCTTGTTTTTCTATTGTCTTTCTTGTCTTTTTAAGCTTCCAAATGGAGAGCATCACATATAATCTGACAGGGTTTCTGTTTGTTTTTTTCGTGGACCCAGAGCTTGACACAGGACGTAGATGCAACCTGGTTGTTATCTCTCCACATGGTGGTGCTGTAAAGCTGTGTGAACTCTAACCATGTGTGTCATCACACAGATATGTGGAGTTTATCAAGGCAGTTCCTTTTATAATCCTCCTGATGCTCGTTGCTGATGTTTTATCTGTTTAATAGCATTTTACTGCTACACACCATAAAAAACACCCTTTTTACGGTGACACCAAACACATTGTTTGGGGAATTGACCCTGCCTGTGTAATGAACAGCAGTGAATTTGCAGCCAGTTATTAAAAAAAAGGAGGGAAGGAGGGGGGAGACCATTTTGACCCAAAGAGAAGAGGAGGAATATTTTACATGAGGGGGCAGGAAGCCTGTCCTCCACGTCCCATTAGAGGTTTCAACATGGCTGATTTTTAACTGTTTTCTGTTTTTCATTAGTCAACATCCACTTAGTTACAGTATATAAAAAAGAATGCAGCATTCTTAATTTCATTTCTCAAATTACATTTTGTAAATTGAAAAATAGATATTTAAAATCATATTTATAGCCTGAATCCTACAGTATAGTATATAGATGAAATATATACAGAAAGGAAACTAATTAAAAGAGAATAAAATCAAGTGCTTTTGCTTTCAAAGATGATAACTGGATGATTAAAAATGATGTGAAACATGTCCTATGGACTATCAGAAATGTTGGAGAACAATGTTAAACAACACAAAATAAGGGACTATCTTTCATCATAGTTCAGAGACTTAAGAAATCTGTATTAAGAAGCCCTGAAGCTCGACAGTGGTTAACCAGCAGCTCTCAGTACTCGCCTGGGTTTCTGCATTTGTTGCTCACAACAACAATTATTTTGCTATTGAATTTATTTCAACCAGGACAACCAATGCTTCAAAAAAGCAAAGCAGTGCAGGGTGCTTGTTGGGCAAATGACGATGTCCAGGTCCTACTTAGTATTAGGGATTCAGTCCATTCAGAGGGAGCTGGAAACCAAAGGGACCAAAAGACACTGAAATACAACACACAGTCAAACAATGCAAGGAAATAAAAAAAATATATAGCAAGATTATGGAAAAATAAATCATATCAGTGGCGGAATCAGAAAAAACCAAAGTGTAATCAGTTTTAACAGTAATGCATTCCTTTGTTAAACAAAACATTTTCACGGTCAATCTTCTCATCATGAGGAATGCTACTAATCCTGGGAACACAGTTATATTATATCCTGTGGTTTTAAAGAACTGCCAAATACTTAAAAACAACCCTGATGATATCAGCAGTTTTATTCAGTTGCATCATAGGAAATGTAGGATGTGGTACTTTTGGACTAAACTCCAGATTAACATCAGGATATCTGAGTTTCTACTGCTTCAGTGTTGGCCATTATTTTTTAATCTGTCTGTGACAAGTCCCTCAACTTTATGGAAGTGCAATACTAAACATTTTTCTTTATCTTGTGGTAATACCAGGTGGAAATGAAATAATAGTATCAGAATGAGTTGGGATTTACAAATACAATATATAAATTGGGTTTTTCTTTAAAAATACCGTAGAGCTACTACAAGTCTACACAGGTGAGCAGTCTTATTTCACAATATGCTCATGTTTTACATTTTCAGGAGCATTGTCTCTGTGTTTGTGTTCTGTGTTGTAGGCAAAGATTTTTTTTAATTTTCAGTGAATTCAAACCCCTGCTGCTCAGTTTCACTAACACTTGGAGTGTTTCTGACACTTACAAGAAACTGTGAAAAGTTACCTATCTGAAAACATCTTGCTTGTGTGTATAGATCAGTGAATTCCAAAGCTATGAGCACGGTGATCATAGTATAGGTTCCCACTCAGTGACAGGAAATCATTTTAGTTTACGAGAAGACAGAACATTTTCGATCATCTATGCCTTCATCAGTGTCACAGTTTCACAGTCTAGCTAATAATAAACATTACATTCAGATGAATCCTCTCAAGATGATTAGTCTACACCTGGTTGTGTGAAGTCCTATTCAGTGATCATCAGGAAAACACTGATTTTTCTGAGCATGGTGCAACTGTATATGTAAATGTCCTTTTATTTTTGGCCATGTTCAGGTGTTTGTGTTTAAAATGAAGACAAAATGAAGGTTAGCAGGAAAATAAAATTTCCAGGACTCAAAAACAGACAGTGAATAACATATTGCTGGAGAGGTAGTGCATTTTTGATCAAAACAAGATTTAAAAGAGGGAGAGGGAAGCATATTCTCCAAGTAGAAATAAAAGTGATTGTACGTGCACACACACACAACCCAGACAGACACAGACAGAGAAAGAATCAATAGGGGCATTTGGCCTATTATCATAAACACACAGTGGATGTGTGTGTGTGGGAAGAATGGTGTTTTTATCTCCAGATGGTTGACTGAGACTTGGCTGGTTGGTACAGACCGTCAGAGAGAGAAAAACAGGCAGAAGGCGTCTTTTCTACTTGAGCTCAACTAAATGTGTATGTGTGTGTTGGAGTGGCCACGTCTGCCAACCTGCCTGCCTGTGTGTGTACATGTGCATGTGTGTATGTGATTGACCTTGAGAAAGGAAGCTCAGTTAGAGGAGAGAGGGATAAGGAGCCCACCTCCCCCCTCCAACCCCCTTCCCTGGGTAAAGAACGACTAGCTTCTCATCCTCTGCCTGTCTTCTCTTCTTCTTTCTTCTCCCGTCCTTTTCATTTCTCTCTCTCTCTCTCTCTTCTTCTCTTTGTCTGTTCTCTCCCTTTTCACTCCTGTTCTTGTTGCTTCTCATTTTAATTTGTTTCCTCTCTTCTCTTTTTCCCTTTTCTTGCTTCCACTCATCTCCTCATCTTTTCCCTTGATATTTCTTCATCTCGTTTCTTTCATAGCCCCTTTTTCTTTATATTTCCTTTGCCATCATCTTGGTCTCCTCTCCTTTCATGTCCTTTCGTATTTTTCTCCTCTCTTCTCCATCCTCTTCTGTTCACCTTCTCCCCTCCTCCTTATCTCCTTGCCTTGTTTCCTTTTCCCTTTGCTGCTTTACTCCTTGTTAGCTTTCCTCTCCCCTTTTAGCTCCTCTCATTTCCAGTTTTCTCATTGTCTAATTGCATCTCTTCTCCTTTCCCCCCGCTCTCCTGCTTTCCTCCATCCTCATCTCCTTTTGTCTTTGCCCCTCTCCCCTTTAATATTTCTCTCCTTTTCCTCTCTTCTCTTTGGCTCATCTTCTCTCCTCTTGTACGTCCTGTTTTTGTCTCTTCTCCTTGTCTTTTCTCCTGACATCTCCTCCCCCTGCGTCCACTCTTGCCCGGTCTTCTCACCTAGTCTCATCATCATTTTTTGTCTTGTCTCCTGCCCTCTCCTCTCCTCTTTCTTGTCTTATCTCCTCTTCTCCCCTCTCCCTGCATGTCACCTCTGTTCCTCCAACACTCCCTTTCAGCGGCCAAGGTGCTCTGCATGAAAGAGAAAAGAAAAAAAACCAGACACGTCTAAAGAAAAGGAGAGCGGGGAATCAAATGCCATACTAAAATACTAAAAGCTCTTTGAAAAGCTTTGGAGATGGCAGGATGTCCAGGGGGTAATTTAAAAACCTGCCACGGGAAACAGTCAAAGAGAAGGTGTAACAGTGTCTGCAATATGCTTCATAGTCACAAAGGGTCCAAAACAGCGCTTTGATTCTTCCACAACACTTGTATCAGCACGTTTCAACCTGTTAAAGAGTGTGTTTTCTTTCACATGATTTGATTTTGTTCTGTTGGCCTTTCAAATAATGCCACATGGATTCTTTCACAGTGTGTTTGCTGCCCCACTTTTTCTGTTTCTCTATAGCCACTGGAGGCAGTGCACGTAACTCACCTTAATTTAAACCTCTGTTTGTCTTTCTTTTCCACCTTGGAACTCTCATCATCTCTCAAAAGGTAAAAAGAGACTGAGTTAATATGTTTTTTGTTTTGTTTTACAGAAGGCTGGAGCCAATCCCAGCTCACACTGAGTGAGAGGCGGGGTCCTCCCTGGACCCTGGACAGGTCGCCAGCCTATCACAGGGCTGACACTTAGAGACAGACAACCACACACATCCACATTCACTCCTATGGGCAATTTAGAGTCGCCATTCAGCCTATGCTGCATGTCTGGACTGTAGGAGGAAGCCGGAGAGAACTCACACTGCCACAGGGAGGACATGCAAACTTTGTACAGGGTTGGCCGGGGCCTGGACCCAGGACCAATGTACCACCATGCTTCCTACCAACATACACTATCCGTCAAATGTTTGGACACATTTTCCCATTGAACTGAATGGGAAAGTGTGTCCAAATGTTGGACTGGAAATGTATCTAGACAGCACAGTTTACCATTTGCTCTTTCTCAGCCACAGATCTTTTGTATCATGTGTGAGTTGAGTAAAACCTGTGTGGAGGAGACTTGCGTCAGACACCTAGCATAGGAAGATGTTCCAGTAGACCAATTTTGTCTATTTCATCTGTCTTCTCCTTGTTTCCACTGTGACCTTTAAAAGAATAGAGGAGAAGACATGAGAAGAAGCAAGAGGAGACCTTTATCACTGGAGTGTATCCCTGACTTATAATTTTACACTTTATTGGTTCTCCTCAAGTATTCACTAACCAGACTGGCAATCCCTGCTGCATAAAAGCTGCTATATCCCATGCACGGTATAAATAGTTAATTGTTTCTGATACATTTATGATAACTTTTTTTATTTTGTAGAAATAAACTCCAGAACTTGTCTTAATGTGTGGAGTGCTGTCAAAGCCTCCTGTGGCCCAGACTCATCGAACAGCAGTGGCAGCGCTGCAGAGATGTCGCTTTAACTAGCTAACCAATTAGTTGACTGAGAACTCACTCACTCAGCTGACAGTGGTAGAAAGTAACTAAAGTACAGTACTTACAATAAGTACACTTTTCTGCTACTATATATTTTTACTGCACGACATTTCATAGAGATACTATTTACTTTTGACTCCATTACATTTATAGACTTGCATGAGTTACTTTGTTGATCAACACTTATACAACCAGTTTATTTATTTAGAGACAATGCACATTATTTTGCATTATCAAATGAACCAGGTTTAGCCAGATAACATTAAAGTATCTTTTAAGTTACTCAAACTGTCCATTCTCAACAACTTTAACAAAAAAGAGAAAAAATAACCAGTTAACCGTTTTAATCATATTTACCATGACACTACAGTATCATCATAAATAGGCAGGCACACTTCATTTACTAACAATGTAGCTAAAATCACAAGGGTTTTCCACATTTTACATCCATGATTATTATATTCATGCACTGAAAAGGAGCTTTATTATTGCTTTGCATCCACAGAGAAGGAGCAGGCATCTCATTTTTCTGTCTGTGCATCCTAATTTCTACATTTAATGTCTGGGTAGGGCAGCTCCTCATTTCCCCTGAGCACAGACTGAGTGCATGCAGAGGAGGAGTGAGAGGCGAGAAGAGGCGAGTGGAGGAGGCCTTAGCAGGGCTATTTTTACGAGGCACATAATAAAGATATGAAGATGAAGCATCTATACCTGAGGACCTTCTCTCTGCTCCCAGCCTGGTCTGACAACCTCTTTTCTTGTGTCTGTGCTTTGGCTCCCATGGAGGATAGAGAGAACAGGCTGAGATGAATGAGAGTAATAACCCTACTGCTAGGAGAGAGAGAGCAGTGGGGAGGGTCATGGCGGTGTAAACACCAGAGCAAAAGCTTGCAAGTCTTTGGTTCTATTTTTACTATGGCACAAGGGGAAGAGGAGGGGGAGGAGAAAACAGAAGGGAGGGAGAGAAGAGGAAGTGGTATGAAAATGTGAATTCTGCATTATTCATGGACCCAGTGGAAGAGTATATACAGCAGCTGTGGAACAACTTTCACAGCCTGCACACACATTTATAATTATGAGGACGCTTATTGAGAAAATACATTCCCTAGCCAGTTACTTTAAAGGGCAATGTCACTTATTTTACACATTAAAATACAACATATACATCAACATCAAATCAAATGTGGAGGTTTCTAGTTGCCTACTACAAATACCTAACAAAGTAACAACTAGCTGGGTGAAGACAGTTAAAGAGGCAGATCATTTTGTCACGACTTGGTGGAGACCAAACCAGTGCTGAATCATCCCGTGGAAGCAGTAGCTTCAGAGAAACCTTTGTCAAGTCACTGAGAAAGAGTACGTTGTATTGTATTTCAGGTTGGGTTGGAAATTCCAGATTTCCATGACAACATTCACTTATCTTTTCAGAAAACACCTTCATTTCTGTTCCTTCTTCAAACAAGCTAAACAGCCACGTACCACAGTTTCCACCTCGTAGGTGTTTCAACTTGCAGACCTGCTAATATTTTTCCAATCTCAAACAATCCTGTCTTTTAATTCCACACGGTATTAGCAGTGATGTCTACAAAGACTTGCCAGGTTTGTGTGTTTTCTGCAAAAAGATGGATATTCTGATGGACGAAGAGTGAAAGAGCAAGCTAAGGAAGATACCTGACCTGATGACATGGCAGTCATAAAGCTGCAGTGCTCACTGGCAGTAACGCAGAATCAGCTGTATTGGCCAGGTGTGTTGGCCACACCAGGACTGTACACTATCTCAAAGACCAATGAACAGTGGTGGATTCTACGCAGTACAGTAGTTAAAATTGTTAGGTTGGTTGTAGGCACACAATTGGAATTTTCTCTTTATATAAATTCCAGGACTGGAAAAGATGGCAACAACACTATTGGTCACACACAACTATGTAGTATTCAACATTCTTTACATTGGCAAGTATTTATGTACATGCTTTTTAAACATACTAGTTACTGAACCATCTGGAAACTATCCTGTATAGTATTAAACTATACATAAGCTTAAAGCTTTCTGACAGTGGTAACTTGTGTAAACTAGCACAGACAACTAAAGAAAACATTTTTAGCTTTGTGAATACATCTTACTGTGAATTCTTGTTTACTTCCAAGTGAAAATTTATAGTAATCTGATACAAAGCATGGGAGTTCACCATTTCTTTGTTTGTGCATTTGTACCTTCCCCATATTTCCAAAAGTGTGTTTGAAAATGAACAGTTTCTCTATTGCCAGATATGCATCTCATATTTCACAGCAAGTGTATGGATTTATTCAGGTTCATATCTGATATCCTTGTGTGTCTTTGTATCACTGTTCTGTACTGTGTGTTTTTCAGTGTGTGTAGGATGCCGTGGATTATTTACACGGATGCGTGACCTTCACAGGGTCATGTCATGCTCAATAAAGCCCTCTGCGCTGTAGCTGTGCACAGTTTTCAACCATCTTCTCACTCTTTCAGACTGGAATGAATATCATGTTTCCTCAAGATGGAGTTGCAAGAATCACAACAGGTTTATGTTACACGTTGAAGTCTTACAAATGCACAGCAGTGAGGTTTGGCAATGGTTTTGTGGTATAAATAGGTCTGCCTGCTTATGGGATGTATTAAATGTACTCCAGGGTGCCATGAAAATAAACAAAGTCAGGGCAGAACTGGAAGACATTATCCCTACTAGAGGTAGAGCTTACTGCTGCTAGGATGACTTTGTTACCCTTGGACAGAGTCAGGTAAGCTTTTCCCCCATGTTGCCAGTCTGCTGCTGACTCCTGCATCATATTTACCATGCAGACATGAAAGTGGTATTAGTCTTCTAATCTGACCATTGGCATATTTACATATTTCTCAAAATATGTAACAGTTCCTTTAAGGAAGTCAAGAGTCGCTTCATTGTCTTTTAAAAATATCAAGTAGCCCACAGACATAAAAAGCCAAACATTCTGGAAGGAACTGGGGCACACTTTAAAATATATATATTGGGCACATTTTATGGAATATATCAGAGTATAGCCATAATATTATGACCACCTGCCTAACGCCGTGTGCACAGGACTCAGTGTGACAGCTGGTTGAATCTATTTGCCACCGTAGTTATAAAGTTTCTCCATCATTTATTGATAAAAATATGTTAAAGGAGTGAAAACAGTGGTCATGACGGTAAATTAGATTATTTTTAGACACATTAAACAGCCTCCCCACTCTAGATGTCAGATCACCACTATAGCCTCTGAATGTTTCTCTTCATACAGACCAATGGACAGTTTTTCTCTTTTTCAACCATTTTAACAAAGGTTCATACAAAATAGAATCTTTTGAAAAGGATGAATGAAATTTAAAAGTTTAATCTACAGTAGATCAACCTCATCGTCAGTGAGCCTTTGGGTGTCCGTGACCCTGTCGCTGGTTCAGTGTTTGTCTTTCCTTAGACACTGTTGGTAGGTACTAACCACTACAGACTGGGAACACCCAACATGTGCAGACTGGGAGATGCTCTGACGCAGTCAGCCATCGCAGTTTGGCCCTTGTTAAAGTTGCTCAGATCCTTATACGCTTGCCCATTTTTCCTGCTTCCAACATGTCAACTTCACGGACTGAATGTTCACTTGCTGCCTAATAAACCCCCCACACTGACAGGTGCCACTGTAATGAGATGGTCAGTGTTGTTCACGTCACCCGTCAGTGGTCATAATGTTATGGCTGATCAGTGGAAGCAATAGAGTGAAGACAAAAGAGAAGACAGACAATGAATTAAACAGTTAAAGCAGGTGAGCTGTAACAAATGAGCCTTTAGTTATTTGTATAGCTCCAGTTCACAACAAAAATCATCTCAGGGCACTGAACATAGTATGATCTAGACCTTACAGTATTATAGAGAAAAACCCAACAAATCGAGCACTTGGAGACAGTGAAGATGAAGAATTCCCCTTAACGGAAGAAACCTCCAACAAGCTCTAGGTGGGCAATTGGTTGGGATGATTAAAATTTTATTTCTCAAATCATCACAAACTTCTTGAGAGCCCACAAAATACATTAACAGAATGATCCTGCTGGTAAAACTGTGGCACGTGTTTTTTCTGAATTGCTATGACAGTGTTTCAGAACGACCTTGCTCACTGGCCTCCAACATGTGTCTGTTTGCTCCAACAGTTTATTGGAGATAAACCAAATGAAGCTCACACACTAAAACATTCAAACTTGTGACTGCTCTATAGCTGTATCAGTCCACCAAATCGAAATATTCGGAATATCTTGTGTCGTTTTAAACACATTTCCTTTGTGTATTTGGTGAAACTGAAAATTCTTATGTGGGTTTGAACAGTTTTGGATGGAGGATGGAGCCAGCAGTCTGGCAGAGAGGTATTGGTTATTAATCTCAACCAAATGAGGCATTAACAGGGATTTTACGAGTGACAATAAACTAGTAAAATATGCTTTTACCTTTCCACCTTGTCAAATTCTTCTTCACCAGTTTCTCCCCTCCTGCTCCAGCTTGCACAGTTATGACTTTATTTCATGCCGTGATGCAACTTTTCATTACTTATGATTCATTGGTGGCCACGGTGAAACTGTGGCACTGTGCCACCTGTCCCCCTCACCTCTCCACTCAGCTCAGCTCACCTCCATTCGACCCTGGGACCTGAGCCGAGAGAACAGCAGCATCCTGCAGAGACACAGAAGACAAAGACAGAGGATAAATAAACAGAGTGTGTAATCTATCTGCAGCCGCTCGGCCACTGGACAGAATGCTGCTGTTGTGACATCCTCAATCTGACTGGCAAGGCCTGATGCTAATCTGACAGCTCGTGACAATGTAGTGTGGTGAGAAGAGATAGAAACTGCACACACACACACACACACACACACACATACACAGTGTTTCCATCACTTTAGGGGACATTTACATTTATTTCCTGGAGATGTAGCCTAACCTTAACCTTTACCCTAATACTGAACCTATATCTTTAATCTAACGTTAAATCACGTCGTCTACCTAAAAGTCAACGATTTACTTTGTTGGGACCAGCATCTGGTTCCCATTAAGAAGGGAAGTCCTCACAGTATTAAAAAGAGTCACATCACACATTTTAACACCAATTAAACAACCTGCACATCTTTGGACTGTATTATTATTATTATTAGCAATCTGAAGAAACGTAGAAAAAAAAAACCAACTGGACTCCGGCTCAACAGCAGAACTGATGAAGCCTCTTGGATGAGAAATGAAAACCTAACCTGGACCTAAAATCAAGTCCAGTTGATTTTTTTTTCCTATGTTTTTTCAGCTTACTATGACCTGGATGACTGAGAATCTGCACGGACATATTATTAGCGACCTGTTTCATGTCAGAAATAATTATTTCATGACTTGTGCAGTGACTTTAGCTGTGTGTCACTAACCAAGATCAGACAGTGAGTAATGTCTGAGGAGATAAAACTAACATTCTGTGTAATAAAGCTAATGGGCTTTATTACACACACATGCACTTTGGGAATCCAGTGCACTTTCACTTCTCCAACCTTTAAGATACAACTGAACAAACATGTTGTCTGATGTTTTGACGTCAGCATGACATGTTGTGTTGTGCACCTGCTCACTGTTACTGGTCTGGAAAAATGTTGGGGAGGGAGGGGGCAGATCAAATTGATGAGATGACTTATAGTGAGCTTTCTCAAGAGTCAAAAATTAAATCAAAATCAGAATCTCATCTAAAACATCCAGCACTCCTGTTTCATATCTCAGCGGACCCCGTTCTCTACTAACAAAATTCAGGATTTTAGTGTCATCTAGTTATTGGTTCCAGTTTTAGTTGGCCTTTCCACAAAATTCATTTCAAAATAAAAATGACATTGCTACATATAATTATCACTGCTTTCATCCAACTGCTCTGCCATTACTCAGCCAGAATGCTTTTCTCATGCACCTGCGTACTTACAACAACCAAGTAAAAATCTGGTTATT